GTGGTGCCTACCGTTTTCACTGCACACGTATCGCAGGATCCACTTATCCAGGTCCATGGAAGTGGCTGTCAGGATGGCACTGGAGCCATGGGTCTGTTTCTTAATCAGATAAGCGTTATTATCCATAGTCTCCTAGGTCGAGTGTGGCACTCCATGGAGACCTGGTGGCAGCTCCCCTCTGAGATAGCAAACAGGAAAAGGCTCCACTGCCTTCCTGTCAGCATTGCTCCTGAGCTCTGGCCAGCACAGACAGGCAAGAGAGAGAACAGTGTCAGGGCTTGCAGATAAAAGGCAGACAACCAATTTCCAGGTGCAGGAACAGAGTTGCCAGTTACAAAGTTAGCACCCAAAATCAATCAATCTATCTATCTATCTTTCTTCTTCCTCCTCCTCTTCTTCCTCCTCCCCCTCTTCCCCTTCCTCTTCTTCCTCCTCCTGCTCCTCTTCTTCTATTGCAACAGTAGTTTGAAAGTTAAATGTTGGAGATGCCACTTACAGTAGCATCAAAACATAGCAAATACTCCAGAATAAATTAAAATACAATGCTTAACACATTTTTAGGAGAAAATTACCAGACTTGCAGAGAGACTTTTACGGATGATTGAGTAATTGGAGAAATACTGCATGTTCGTGAGTTGGAAGACTCAACATCACAGAGCCTCCACTCTCCTCAAATCTGGGTGGACAAATAGGGGCCTGTGGACAGCCCACACATGAGGGGAGCAAGCTGGAGGAATTCGAATCAGCTGTTTGGGTCTCTGGTATAAGGAGCTTGGGCATTGGTGCTGGTGCAGGAGGGCCCCGGGGCAGAGGAGATCTTGGGGCAGTGGGGAACTGAGTCTTTTAAAATGATGCATAAATTTTCTCTTTAAAAAATAAAATAGCAGGACCGGGGATTTAGCTCAGTGGTTTCGCTGCCTGCTGTGCAAGTGCAAGGACCCGAGTTTGATCCCCGGTACCAAAAAAATAAATAAAAAATAAAATAAAATAGTGGCCAAGTCTGTTGGCACATGCCTGTAATCTCAGCTATTTGAGTAGCTGAGGCAGGGTGATCACAAGTTTCAGGCCACCCTAGACAACGCAAAACCCTAGTTTCAGTCCCCATTATAACACACACACACACACACACACACACACACACACACACAGTAACATTGCTAAGTTTTTTTGCTTAGGGAGGAAATGAGGTAAGTGGACTTCAGTGCCTATCAGTGAAGAATCCTGGATTTACCCCCAATTGTTAGTAGTGGAATTCAGCTTTGTTCCTGTTCCTTCTCTACTAAAAATACACACACGAGAAAGACAAGGTGGCTCACAGCTGATGGTTGGGCTCTTACCCTTTGCAGTCCACTCATTTACTCCTGTTTCACATGTGGTCACCGTGGTCTTTGGACTCACCGCTTGCACAGGTCCTGTGGGGCTACGGAAGCACTGTGCATGCGACGGCGGGGGGGACAGGCATGGCCCAGGCTGTCGTCATGCCACGGTCTCTGTGTCTAAAGTCGGCTGCTCATGCATGTTGTGTAAGTGCGGAAAACAGTGCCGTCGTGGTGAGCTCGTCCATGGGTGTCTCTGCAGTTGTCACCCTCTGGGCTGCTGGAGGAGGCCATCCTCTGTGTCCGGCTCTGCTGTCTTCCTCCAGCTGCGTGCTGAAAGCCGGTAGTTTATTGTATCTTGGATCATTTCTTTTAACCAAGATTCCTCATGTAGGAGGAGACTTGGCTTTTCTTTTTAAATCATTTTCCTATCCACAGACAATCCACAGGAAGCCTCCTGGCAAAGGGTAAGAACTTAGTAATTCAGCTTTTTCACATCATATTCTGTGATTCATTTAAAATGTGTGTGTGTGTGTGTGTGTGTGTGTGTCGTCTGTAACTGAGGCATACATTGCTGGCAACATCAGTGACCTCAGCTGTGATGCTAGTCGTCACTTAGGACTTGTTTACAAAAGCCTGCAAAAGGGAGTTGGGATTTGCTTGCCTTTTAGAAATATTTGGAATACAAAATTTTATGAAAAAAAATTTCTGTACCTCCCTCTTCAGTCACAGTAGATTTATTTTCATGACAACTTGGTCTTTATCCTTGTTGGTTGGTATACTGTGTCTAACGGGCAGATGTTTTCGGGCCTCAGCTCTGTAAGCCTGGCCCTGCTCTGGCCAGGGCTGTGTGGCCTGCATACGCTGTGCTGTGCTGGAGAGCGGTGCTGAGGCCTGGGACAAGCTCACGGCTCCAGGGGTCTGCTGTCTCCTGTGTCTTCTGGTGCAGGCCCGAGCTGTGCTTGTAAGGGTTCAGCGGGGAAGGGCCAGGCTGTGAGTGGGGTGCGAGCGAGGGTGTCGGGGGCTCTGGGGCTCTTGTGGGCCTCTTAGTTCTCTGTGGTGCTGAGCAAGTGAATGCCAGAGACAGGTTCCAAGTACACAGTCTGTGGCGACAGACGGGAACCCGTGCAAGGTGCTCCTGTAAGGGAGTGTGAACAAAGGTGTGGATCTGAGGAGGGTCAAAGGCAAGCAAGGAGGTGATTCGGAAAATGAATGCGCTTCATGAAAAGGCAGCACGCTGGAGTGATGGTCACTGGGTTCAAATGGTGGGACAGCCTCTGTCCCGTGTTCTCTTAAGCGTCCTGTAGGCAGGATGTCCCAACCCTGTCGCCCTGCTGTGTACAGCTGCTTATCTCTGCATCCAGCGCAACAAGCCAGGAAACCGCAGGTCCCCACACAGCAGGTCAGTCCAGGTAGCAGTGTCTGTGTGCCAGCTGTTTGCAAGGCTGATGTTGGCATTAAGGGATTGGGAACAGTGTCACCACATGGGATCTGCCCTCACAGCTCGGCCAGATGGGGAGCTCAAATACTAAGCAGGATCCCTAGCTATTGAAATGATAGCAAGTGTAAATGCCCAGCTCCTAGGAGTCTTAGGGAACAAGGGAGTGAGGAAAGGCCTTGTAGAATAGACCTGAGCAAGCAGCTGGCATTTAGTAGGGGTGGGAAGAGGCAGAAGGGGAGCACTGCAGGCCTGAGCAGAGAAAAGCACCTGTGTGCAAGGAAGCAGAACACCCCAGTGCTCTACATCACTCACTGGGCTGAGGCTGGTGTGGGTGGCTCAGAGTCCCTCACACTCCTAAAACTACGTCGGGCCCCACAGAGCTTCTGTGTATGAGTTTAGCTGCCATAGTGACCATATTCAGAATTAAACTAGAGGAAATATTTAACATGTACGTATTCGTTAAAAAAGAACTGAGATGGGGCTGGGGATTTAGCTCAGTGGCGCCACGCACTCGCCTCACAAGTGCAAGGTCCTGAGTTCGGTCTCCGGTACCACAAAAAAAAGAACTGAGATATGTTATGTATGTGTACCGACTCCCCATGAGGAACGTGACCGTGATGTAGTGCAAATGTGTATACTAATAAAAATTTTTAAAAATAACATTTTTATGAAAATAGACATGTTTTCAAAAACAGTAACAACTTTAGTGAGAAGAGTAACAGTTTTATTTTTGCAAATCTCTGCAGTGTCTGGCTTATGAGGAGATACCTGGTCCCCTTGACTAGTTCTACGTTCAGCCTTGGCCTTATGTCACTTTGGCTGGCTGTAAGAAGTGGCAGGGAAAGGCCCTTCCAGGGAGTTGTGGACGTTTTCTTTGATATTGCACCAAAACTTAATAAATATTCAGTTTCTTAAAGGAGTCTGCAACTTGGAACCTGAAACCAGATCAGTGAGTTGTCTGTAGGTTTTATTCCATTAAAATCCGGTGGTCCGCCTTGCAGTGTGAATGGCTCTTTTGCCCTTAAATGATATTATAACACCATCTATTAATCATGTGGAAAGCATTGGCTCACCAAGTTTTGCAAATTTTCTAAGACATTTTGCGAATCTCTGATACCTTTCAGAATGGGTATCAGTTAACCCGTCTTGTTATCACCACCACCAACCTAGTCGGGGCGATCAGGCCCCTGTGGCAGGTGTCAGTTCCCTAAGCTTCCCAGGGTACAGCTTCCTCGCTTGCTGGCCCTGCATTGACCCTGTAAGCCTGTTTATCTCTGTAGTCATACTGCTCTCTGGCCCAGGTAGGCGCTCCCTAAATCATGGTTACTACTGTCAGCGCCCCTTCTGTGTTGCCGTCCTCGTGAACAGTCACCACGTGTGACTTGTGGGGACATAGACCAGCGAGAGTGCCGAAGTGGCCACAGCCTCTGGGGGTCGGGAAGAGTGGGTTTCAGCAATCTGCCGACGGAGGCCAGAGGAGACAACTGGCCATGCCAGGCCTAGAGCCAAGCTGCCCTCTGAGCCTCCACTTTGCCTGTGCTTCATTCTGCAGCCATCACATGCTGTCACAGTGCCCACACCAGTGGTGGCAAACCTAGGGCAGGTGTGCCGCAGCCAGCTGTGCTTTTATCATTGAAAGCTCTGAAAGGTTCCCCGTCACTGGCCCTGCCTTCACCCCAGACCCAGGCCGTGTCGTTGGCTTGTTGTGCTTACTGTTCACCCAGCACGGGGCCTAGCACGTGATCGTTGGTGCTCAGAAAGCATTTGTTGAATGAATACATTGAGAAGGAATTTATTTTGAACAGTATGCTTGATGTGGTTTGAAAGAGTGAAAAAACATACTTTACCATACTAACCCTGTAATCTGAGCAGTGACTTGCTATTTTTTTCTTTTTATTTAAGGAATGTTTGACCTCATTCACTCCTCCCCATCCCTTTTTTCTTGAACTCTGTTAATTCAAAGTAAAAAACAGAAGGGCCAGGTGTGATGCTGCACACCTGCAATCCCAGCACTGAGGAGACAAAGGTAGGAGGATGGAGAGTTCCAGGCCAGCCTGGGCAACTTAGCAAGACCCTGTCTTAAAATTTTAGAAAGTGACAAAGGCTGGCATTGTAGCTCATTGCTCCCTAGGATCAGTCCAAGTACTGCAAAATAAATAAACAGACACACACACTTAAGTGTTCCACAGTGTCTTTGGGTTAAGCATTTTGGCAATCAATACGCTTTGCTTTCTGCCTTTCAGATGTTCCTCCTGCGGATCAAGAAAAGCTTTTTACCCAGAAGTTACGTCAGTGTTGCGTCCTCTTTGACTTTGTTTCTGACCCACTGAGTGACCTCAAGTGGAAGGAAGTGAAACGAGCTGCTTTAAGTGAAATGGTGGAATACATCACCCATAATCGGAATGTGATCACGGAGCCTATTTATCCAGAAGTAGTCCACATGGTAAGTGTGCACCCTTAAGCGGCACGTCCCCACCTTGAGCCACAGCAGGACTCCGAAGTTCTTAGGACAAGCCGAGACCTCTGAGCTCAACACAGTGCCACTAGGAAAACCTCCATGATGTAGACAGATCCCAGGAATAATGAAAAGTGGGGCCGGGGATTTAGCTCAGTGGTTCCACCACCTGCCCCACAAGCACAAGGACCCGAGTTCGATCCCCAGTACCAAAAAAATAAAAAATAAAAGTAACAAAAAGTGTTCTTTGTAATGTGTCCTGGATGACAGTTCTAACAGTGCAAGGAATCAGTTGCCTTCTAGGGACCAGATAATAAGATGTTTGTATGAACTAGCATCCTATGGGGTTTGTTTTAGAACATTTATTTGTATTTATTATTTTGTTCTCATTAAATTTTGAGTTTTTTGGGCCCGGGATTTAGCTCAGTGGCACCGAACCTGCCTCTCAAGTGCAAGGTACTGAGTTTGGTCCCCGGTACCAAAAAAAGACTTTTTTTTCTCAGTTTTTTGGTAAGCATATATAACAATACTCTAGTGCCCTTATGTCAATTAGAAGTAAGCATGTTTTTTTTGTTTTTGTTTTTGTTTCCGGTACGGGGGATGGAACTCAGGACCTTGCACTTTTGAGGCAGGTGGAACCACTGAGCTAAATCCTCGGCCCAGAAGTAAGCATGTCTATACATGTGCAAGAAAATTCTAGTGATTGGGCACAGTTAAAATATTGCTGAAAACAGGATGGGGTGAGAACAGGCCACGCTGATTGGCTGAGAAGGCTTCCGTCTGTTGATGCTGGGCTCGGTGTCGTTTCCTGGTTGGCTGAGACAGTCTTTTATTCAGCCCCCGAATCTCAATGCCCTGAAGCCTCTCCCGCAGCCAGGTTCCAGGCCTTCATTCCAACATTCCCTCGGGCAGTGCCACCTGGAAACGTTTCTTGTGCTGCTATGACCACAACTCCTATGGTTGACACCCAACTTCAGCCTTCTGCTCTGCGCTGCTGAGTTGAGGAGTTGCTCTCTGACTTTGAGATTGGCTCCAGGTTGTTACTGAGTCATTGTTGCAGATACATTGTTACAAGTCTTTAATCTTGATTTTCACTGAACTCTTTCAGTTAACGATTTCTTTCCCAAAGCTGTGTATTTCAGAACTGACTAGATTTATTGACATAAACTTACTTTAGCATGTTTGCTTTGGGAAAAAAGATGAAAACAATTTTTTTTTTTTTTTTTTGTCGTTCAGCCTTCAGTGTCATAAATTGTGATTAACTTGATTGTTTTGAGTTGCGAAACTCTGCGCACCGGCCTGGCTGCCGTGAGGACCTTGACTGGAGCAGAGAGCCAGAACTCTCCTCAGGAGCCTGCATTAAGGACAGGGCAGGTCTCCCTGTTTCTTAATTTCAACTCCGTCACTTTGGAACAGCACCCCTTACCCCAGATTTATAAAGAAAAGTTTCAATATTTTTTTCCTGTGACATCCATAATTTTATTCTTCACATGGCACTTTATAATCCTCTTGGATTATAAACTTGGAACTTTCTTATGGTACAAGTTAAGGGCAAACTTCATTTCCTTCGAAATTATTGAAGAAGTATTTGCCCCTCCATCATATATTGAATATTTCATTTCCCCCATTGATTTAAAAATGCTTCTGTATTATGTATTAATTTTCTTTTTAGTTTTTTTCGGTACCAGAAATCAAACTTAGGACCTTGCCCCTTGCCAGGCAGGTACAGTGCCACTGAGCTAAATCTCCAGCCCTCTTTTTTTTTTTTTTTTTGTGCCGGGGATCGAACTCGGGACCTTGCGCTTGTGAGGCAGGCGCCAGAACCACTCAGCTAAATCCCCAGGCCTCCAGCCCTCTTTTTAATTTATTGATATATAATAAATTTATACATACATGAAGTGCAAGAATAGATGTTCTGTTTTTGTTTTTTGTTTTTTTTGAGATAAGGTCTCACTATGTAGTCCAGACTGGCCTTGAACTCACAGCAATCCTCCTGCCTCAGCCTCCCAAGTGCTGGGATTACAGCCTTGGGACACCATTCCTGCCAGATCTCTCTGTTGTTAAGGAGTCATAGCAGCCAGCAGTCTAATTCACACTCCTGACCCAAGAAGGGGAAGAGTCTGCGAAGAACAAGGAAACTCCTGGCTGCCTGACTCCATCGCCCGGGTGTTTTGGTCCACCACAGGGTTGCACTACTGCAAACACTCAGAGACTGCAGCTCTTGGGGCGTTTCCTTGGGTTAATCAGGCCTCTCCGCCCTCCTAGCTAGATTCTTCTGCTCTTAGCTTTGTTCCCCTTCCCTGAGACCAGCCACCCCTCAGGTGTGCACATTTGGCTCTGAGTCGTCTATCAGATACTCCCTGAGCAGCCACTGTGGGCTGGGCTCTGGGAGGTGCTGAAATAGTTGTGGGCAGATCTCTACCCCACGCCCCACCAGAGCTTTACTTCCCCGTGGGAGCCAAGCATAAAACAAGCTGGCCAGTGCTGTACCATCTGAGTATGGTGATACTGCGAGGAGAGCAAACAGGACCGGCAGCTAGAGGTACAGCTCAGGCCTGATCTCGTGCTCTGCCCGTGTGGGCAGGAAGAAGGTGGAGAGAAAACTCAGATCTGATCAGACCACCCCGCAGAGATAGTGCGGGGAGAGAGGTGCTCGTCCATGGTCACTGAAACGCCCAGGGATGCTTGGTTTTCTCCCTCTGCTGCGATTGAGACGCCTTCGGGGAGCACAGCCTGCCCTTACCCTTGTCTGTGTGGAGCTCCAAAGGTGGAATGGGCGCGGGACAGACTGAGCTTTGTTTTATTCGTTACTGTTCTGTCCTAGACAGGCAGCCCTGATGAGAGGTGCAGTGAAGACAGAAAGACTGGACAGAGGGCACAGGGTCCAGGCTGGGAGCGCCGGGAGCAGAGGGAAGGCCGCGCGGTGCCGGTGCGTGAGCAGCACTGCCCTGGCCTGCTGTGCCCTCGAGGCGGCAGGATGCGGCCAGCGCGCACTGTGCCTGCTGCTCTCTCTTCCCTTGCAGTGCCTGTGTATATTTTGGTCGTAGTATTTTTAGACATTAATTTCGACTCACTTTGAAGAATCCAGAGCTCTAGAGATGCCGTCGCCTAACACTGCCACTTTTAAATATACTCTCTGAGACTGGACAGCTGTATGTTTTTCAGTAGATTTATTGAGATATTGTTCCCATGTCTTAGAATCTGTCCATGTAAAATATGTAATTGAGTGGGGTTTAGTATGAATATAAGATTGTGCAGCCATCATCTCGTCCAGTTTAGAACATTTTCATCCCCAGAGAAAATCTCACGTTCACAGTGCTTCTGCTGTTCCCCCTGCTCCATCACCACCCCAGCCCTGAGTAGCCCCGGTCTACTTCCTGGCTCCACAGACGGCCTGTCAGGACACCCGTGGAAACGGGCTTTGTGACGGGCTTCTTGGGCTCATCCACATTGTGTAGCATGGGTCAGTATTCCGTTCGTTTTTGTTGTTGTTTTTACCAACTAATTTTATTGCTGGTAGTATTCCTTTATATTGATAAGCTACACTTCATGCACTTATTTGTTGACAGGCATTTGGGTTATTTCTGGACGTGGGCTGTTATGAGCAATACTGTGGTGAATTTCACATACAAGCTTTTGTGTGAACGTGTTTTCATTTCCTGTGGGTGTCGTAAGTTAGCTCTGTGTGTATGACAGTTCGGAAAACACCCCAGCCTTTTTTTAAGTGGCTGCACCGTTCCCCATTCCTGTCAGCAGTCTGGAGTGCCGGCATTTGTTCTCGGCCTCTGATTCTCGTGTCCTTGTGGGTGTGAAGTGCTGTCTTTGTGGTTTGGATTTGCGTTTTCCTGACAGGCAGTGATGTAGACGTCTTTTCGCTTGTGCTGCGTATTTTTGTACACCACAGACAGAGCCCTACTCTGCGTCACCTCCTGTGCCCCTTTTCCTTTGCACATGAAGCAGCTTCACTTCAGAGACGCAGATGAGAAAGAGCAGGAGCTGGGGAGGATTTCGGCCGCTAGGTTCCAGAGCACGAATTACGTCAGCGCCAGTGTCTCTTCGTTTCAGTCGGATTTTAAATATAACCACCATCTGGTTTTCTCAATTGAGTTATCTAGTTAATCTGTTTCTCAGGGGTGGACATTTTTCTAATAGTCAAAATACTGATCACAAAGCCAAGTAACAGTATACTTAAGAAATTCAAAGTAATAAAAGTAAAACCACCCGCTAATTTGTACAATTCATCAGTGACTATGCTGGATCCCTAAATAGAGCACTAGCAGCTCTGCTCACGAAATCACTGGGGAGCACCGTCGCACACCTGCCGGCTTCCAGCAGCATGGCCTGGTGGGTGCTGCGGTGCAGGGGACAGAGCAGCCTCAGCCTCCCCAGCCCAGCCTCACCTGGGGACGGCGGGGCCGGGGGGAGTGCAGTGAGGCCCAGGTGTGGGGGCCAAATCTTTCTTTCTTTCTTTTTTTTTTGGTACCGGGGATCGAACTTGGGACCTTGAGCTTGCAAGGCAGGGGCCAGAACCACTGAGCTAAATCCCCGGCCCTGTATACTTACTTTGTAACAAAGACACAAATGTAATAACACAAAAAGGAGAAGTTAATCTTTTTCCTTTCTTCACCCCTCCTCAATTCTACCCATCCCCACTTCCAGCCAGTCATTAATATGTATTACTTTTTTCAAAAGGCTATTAAACTTTTAGGCCCATGCACAGTTGTATGGGACTGTAATCCCAGCTACTCAGAAGCCTGAGGCAGGAGGATCACAAATTCAAGGCTGGCCTGGGCAATTTGGCGAGACTCTGTCTCAAAGTTAAATTAAAAAGGGCTAGAAATGTAGCTCAGTGACAGAGTGCTTACCTAGCATCATACATGAGTCCCTGGGCTTAATCCCTGTTTTCAAAAAAAGAAAGAAACTGAGCTGGGAATTCAGCTCAGTGGCACTGCACCAGCCTTGAAAGCACAAGGTCCTGAGTTCGATCG